TTCCTTATTAAGAGAAAGTTTCAGTTCTGGCAATTCTGAGTTCAGATTCCGAACTAGCCACTTCATCAGCGTTATGCAAGCCATGTGACATAAATTGATCCAGAAATAACGCAGTCCAGAAACGTTATTAGTACACTGACTACCAATAAGTATTTGGACACCTATGCAAATGATGATATCTGCGGTCCCAAGGTACGCCACGGACTTCGCCTGGATATATCGTATAGGACATGTGTAACGTGAATACAAAACAATTTCCTTAAAATGTCCTCCACGAAAGCATCCTTCCCACTAGGAGGATAGACGTCGTGTGCTTTGCCACATTCAAATAACCTAACTTAACTGGATCTTATTGTAGCATACATATTGAAAGTGAAATGATGTAATAGTCACTGAGCGTTTCAAATAAGCTTATTACACTCACTATTAATTCGTAAAAGTAATATGAAAATTTGTTGTATATATTATATTTGGGTTTATATTCATATTCAAAAAACAGTTGAATTTTGTAGATTTAGTTGGATTAAAATATGTCTTTACAAGGTATTTCTAGATTTTGACATGCCTAGTTTGCAAGACACGATAGCTTTGTTCTGGCAACCATAAAGTACTGCACTCCACGCTGAAAAACTGTTGTGCAAAGTCAGAGGCATAGCTAGAGCTTTTGACCTCGGGGCGGATTTTGAATTCGGATCTGAATTTGGATTTCCTCTTGATATACTAACAAATTGTTCAAAAATATCAAAATTACATACTGAAAAATAAATTAAGACTCTAATGTTTATTTCTGAAAATAAACTTATTTAATTTCAATATTTTAAAATTAGATTATTGTTTTGCTTGCTTTTGTTTACTTCCTTGCACGAAGTAAAGGTGGCGATTTCTTTGAATATTTTATGCAGATAAAAACTGATTTTCTTCTCGACTTAATTCCTTTTGGTATTTCAGAGTCTCATTATTATTTACATGCTTCGATGATCCACCTGACTAATATCTATAAAATAATGTTTCACGTAAAAAACGCAACTCCCAGATATGTGCCAGCAGGAGGCGGAATGTCCGTTCCGCTAATACAAGTTTAGCTTATATCACAAAGAATACAACCATCATCAAAATGCCGGGACACACATTATATTGGCGAATATTATGTTGGCTGGCATTTTTATTACAGGTCATCATTATGAGATATTCAGAATAATGGGACATAAAAATTTTTTGCTTCATGCAATGTAGTAAAGAACTAGCTCCAACAGTTAAGAATTTCTAATGAGATAACGACGATGGGGTTACAATGGTGCATTTGGTATGTTTACTATATTTACTAAGTTTATGTTTCTTTTTTTACTTCCTTATACGAAGTAATCGCGAAGAATTTCAGGTATTATATTTCAAGGAAAATGTACGTTTCGACCATTCCCGAACCTATTTTGACTATTTTTTGCATGATGGCTATACGAGCGGACAGAATAAAGGACTATTTTTTCCAAGAGGGATTATAAATTGGATTAAAACCGTATTCAGAATAGATTTTTTTAGTGACGTCTATACATATGTATGTATTTCGCATAAAATGATAAGCCAAACAACGTTGAAATTTTGTATATGGGACTGCTAAAACATCTAGTTGTGCACCTTCTTTTTTTATTCATATCGGCAGTACCCACCCCTTACCCTGGTTATAAATTCTTACTCGGCCTTTATTTTCGTAACCGTTGGTGATAGTTATATACTTCCAGTTACAGAGGTGTTTTAAATGACAAATATTTTCATGTTTTGGCACGGTCAAATTTTAAAAAAATTAGTTTTGCATATATAACGAAATCTAGCTTTTAATGTGATCTCCCGGTCGCTAAACTTTTATTTGGGAGTGTTTTATGCTCGTTAGGGGAAAAAATTACAAGGGTTTGGTTCCTGTAGGACAAAAATTGACCGGGATATTTAATTTCAGATTTCCAGTTTCGTAAATCATTTTAAATTTGCCTTGAGTGTCTGGTTAGTTAAATTTGAATAATTCGAAGAAATTAGTATAAATGAAGTGCATCCAAAAATGTGTATAATTTAAGTACGCGTTTTGCCTTGTTTTCAAGTCTTGTTTTGTACCCGCTAAGTCTTTCTTCACCGATGTGCGAAGGAAAGGTATATAGAAAGGGGGGGGAATTTCGGGTTTCAGAGAATAGTAAAAAGGAACTTCGTATTGTTTTATACGAGTTCAAAAGGCCTGGAAGAAAAATTGGGACAAAATAAATTTAAAAATAAATGGCCCATAGTAGTTAAGAGGAGAAAGGAAAAGATTTAAAAAAAAAAAAAAAAAAAAAATGTAGGCCTCGAGAGGAAAAGGAAGAGTAGTAGAAAATATCTTGATATGTTATAGCGTCCATTGGTGTGTGCGTATATGGATGTGTAAAAAAAGTTTAAAAAAAAAACTCCTTTGATTAGGAATGTAACGTGAAGTAAACAAAATTAACTTTAATTTGGAATACATAGATACTCTAGCATAATTTTGTAAATGAGCATATAAAGAAGATTTAGTTTGTAACTTATAAGGTATATAATATATCATATAATTTTAAGGACCATTGGGAAGACAACGCATGCTAATATAAAGAAAACCTTACCGATAAATACGTATACAAATTGTTTTTCATTTTGAGATCCTCGGTCGTCGTTTGAAGGGTAAATTAGTGTGACTGGTTTCTGAGTCGTCGAAGGTGTTTCAGCACTTTGTATTGCAGCAATCAAGAACCTGTAAGTAAGTCTTGTTGTTGTCATATAAGGTGACTATAATTTCGAATAAAGTAATCCTAGCAGCAATCACCTGATGAACATATGGCATCTACAACTTAAGAACACTAAGAAAGTCCAATGAATTAACTGTCTTTCGCTGCGTGAATCCTACAGTTATGGTTAACGTTTCTTCCGTTTTTGAATCACCAATATCAGGTGATGAAGCCGCGCTAAGGCCACCAGTACCTCGGAAATTTCCTGAATTCTCCTCCCAACCTGTTAAATTTGAAATTGCTTGGAAAGATAGCAGTGTTTAAGAGATTATAAACAAAATGGGTACTTGTGCATTAACTGGTACCTGACGATACACAGCCAATGTTACTAACCATCACTCTGCTGACTTACAACACTGAGGCAATCCCAATAGCTGTTGTGAGTGAAACTGTTAGTGATGTATCGCGGATGTTGTGAGTGAAGCTGTTAGTGATAGTACACAAGTACCCAAAGTAGCCATAAGAAAGCTTTACATTTTGTAAAGCTTTCTTACGGCTAATCTTATGGAAATATGGCTAATCTTATAGCTTTCTTATGGAAAGTTAATCATGCTAAAAAAGGGGAGTATTCCCGTAAGTGATTTACCACTCGTCTGATGATCTTTCACCCATAAAGAATAAGCAAAACTAACGAAGCTGATAACATAAAAAAGGGAGTATTCCCGTAACAGGTGATTTACTACTCGTCTGGTGATCTTTCACTTATAAAGAATAAGCAAAACTAACGAGGCTGATAACACCATCATACTGAACCGTACATAAAGCTACAATATATATATAAAGAAGAATGTCTGTTTGTGTTCGTTTGTTTGTTGGCGATTAACTGAGTCACTACTATAACTATCGTCTCCAAACTTTCTACAGTTTTCTGGGTTCTGGAAAAGGTCGACGTCCACTTTTTCAAAAAAAAAAAAAAAAAAAAAAAAAAAAAAAAAAAGAGCTAAAAATCAGAGATAATAATTAACAACTCGGAAAACTCTAATTTTCGCCCTGATTTTTCCGAGTGGCAACAGTCTCGCACGCTAAAGATAAAGGAAATAAAAATCTGCTTTATTTCGAGAAGTGTTGCCACTGCTCGCTTTCAAATCGTAGAGTTTGTTAATAAAAAATTCCTGAGTTATGCAATAAAATAAAAATAGCATTGCCAAACATTAAATATATTACTCCCGATTCCAGAAATTCGTGGGAAGCCTATTCCCATTTTCGTACGACTTTAATCAGCCGAGATAGTAATTAAAAACTCTGAAAACATTAATTTTCGTGCTCATTTTTCCGAGTGGCAACAGTCTTGTACGCTGGAGATAAAAATCCTATATTTCGAAAAGTACTGCTATTGCTCGTTTTCAAATCTTAAAGTTTGTTAATCAAAAATTTGTAAGTTTTCTGATCAATTATGATCAATTTTTTGCCACATTTAATCTACTAGAATTGAATATAGGTGAAATATTGAATGGAATTTGAACTTCTGCGACCATTTGATTAGAAAGGCGAAGATCATTAAAAAGTGTGTGCCATAGATAATTAGTTTATTTTTCTATCGAAATTTTTTATGTGAGTTCCATATTGCATCAGATTGAAAAAGAAGATTACAGCGGTATCGTTCTCTCTATTGTTAGATACATTACTCTCAATCTAACTTAACTGGCATCGGGTACTTTGGCTAGTATTTCAATATATAAATATCGAATATAAAGAAATTACACGCATTTACTTTCATAGCATTGCCATGAGATTCAGTAAATTATTCAGTTATTATATTAAACTATGCAACATTATCATACGAATGCACTAATATGGTAATGAAAAGGATACCATGTCCCTCGATGGTCGTCATTGTGCATTAATTGTTGTCTTTATAATTTAAATAGCATTTCAAACGAAACTATTTCATATTTGACAATTGAAGTAAACCTATTTCACATTTGTCAATAGTCATCATTTTACTACTAGAATCAAATATAAAACAATCCTGGTGGCCATCCCTATTTTTCATTCACAAAAAGTTGTTCTGATGTCTCTCAACATGACCCCAGATATGAGAGATCGTAACCATAATACAGCAAGATGTCGGAGCAACATCGCCAGGTTGTCTTCTCGTATTCCGTCAAAATTCTCAAAATTCCGTCTCATGATTTACAGTCAGGTATATAACGTAATTCATACGTAGGTCACTAGTGAAGAGAATACCAAAAAATGATTAATTTTTCATCAGACGTTACTTACCTTGAGAATTCTTTTCGCATTTACACTTGCAGTAGAGGAAATAAATTTAACCATTGTTATTACATCGGCAGACATTATGACATTACGTAGGTGTAAATTCCATGATATACTTTGTATCATCCTTCAAATCCGCACCTAAGTACTGGAAATTGAAAAATTCCGATAAGACCACTTGACCTATTACACCGTAGCATCCAGATTGCAGTTCCGCCAAAGCAGAGCTAAATGTTTCGTACCAGTCTTCGGCGAGATCTACATGATCGTAGCAAAACAGAGTGGAATACTGAAGTAAGCAGATAGGACTGCTTGCGTAGCAATGACGTCTGTTCCAGGTCTTCCACCTAAGCTGTAGAGCTTTAAAGTCTTTTTTGAATTAAAATAGTAATATATGTCATCCGCATTTGATAATAAATTATTCACAATTTGAAAAGATATAGCAGAATAACATGCAGCGTACTTATGTAAATATGCGCACCGAAATGCTGGGACATTGTAATCGACATTGTTTTCACTTTCTGCTGCTAACTTTCCCTCCTTCGGAAAAGGTTTATAAGCAGATCCCATTCTTTGAATTGCGTGCGCAATTCGCTCATTACTGACAATACACTACATCTGTTCCTTGTACAGCACGTTGTGAAATAAATCGTTGAAAAGTAATGAATAATCTATGATGTTTAAGCGTTTACGGAAGTTTATCCACATGCCTAGAGGAAAGCGAAACTAGTGATGATAACTTTATCTGTTGCAGATAACAAACGAGCACTGTCAGAGTATTTACATCATTTTATCTAGCTCCAATGCAGGTGCTTATTGGAAAAGACAAAGTGCGATAAACTCGTATATGCTTCGCCATCTGCTGATGTTCCAAATGAACCTTTCCGAAAACAGTCTTGACAATTTTATTCCCAATTCAACCCGGACCAAAAATAAAAATTGATCATAATTTCCATCTCAGTCTTCATTTCACACCTCCTCCTACATAAAAGCAGAAGACTGCATTCAATCAGAGACAATCAACCCTTCTTAATGTAATCGCGATTTATGTTATCATTCGGTTATTGTTATCGAATTTCCAAAGTCCTGCTAGTTTGCATATGAAAACATTAGAAAATATATGGTTTACTCAGATCAACAAGGAAAGTTTTCTTATTATAAATTATTGGTTTATTACTCTGCAGCTTTAGCGCAAGTCATAGGCTTTTTAATTTACTTTTAATTACGTTTATTTTGAATTTATATTCTAACTAATAACAGCTTTTAGGGCTATCTTAGTAACAGCCTACTCTCTATGTATTATTTCTAAGAAAATTAATGGTGAAAGAGAATACTCGTTTTCTATAACTAAGTAAAAACATATATTTGTGTAATTCAATTCCACGTTTTCCAGCTACTGATTTTTGTACCTATAACTATTCTTTCAGTATTACAGATTAAGCAAAAAATCGCTAATTTGAAAACTAAGATTGTAGTTAACTAATTTAGGAACTATGATTGTGATGATTTCCAAAAGCTTAATTCAAAACGAAACATTTCGTTATATAGCAAAATATTCACATTAGGTAAATGTTCTATAAATGTAGTACTAAAACGTTTTTCTTTCATCCAACTATCAAAATAATTTAGCTCTTTTTCTGAAAGAAAATCAATCAAGGAAGATAGGAATGGAGACTAGAAAATAGTATTAAAAGCTTAGCAATTAAAAAAAATATTCCGAGCTAAATAGAATTTTTTAAAAATATTTGTGTAAAATGAGGGGGGGGGGAAGACATTAAATTAAGAAATAGGTACTATTCCGTTTTGAGGACCGTAAAAAATTGCAGCGAAAATGTTTGCGGAAAAGCGCCAAATCTAGCAAACGCTCTCATTTAACAGCGCCAAATCTAGCTACGCGCTGATTTCAAATTGCGTAAGTTTAGATAGTTCTATATTTCTTAAGACGCCATTGAAATACTAGTTTAATTTTTAAATCCTTTTTTGATATCCTAAGGATTTAGCAACTTGGGAATTGTTTTAAGAACGCGTTTTTAAGCATTGCACATACTTGGTATCCATGTACACATCGACCTATTTTCACTTAAAAAAATCCCAGAATTGCACAAAAATGGCACTGCGCACACTTTTGACTTTATCTATGTACCATCGACCTATTTTCACTTAAAAAGTAAAAGAAAAGTGACAAAAATCCAATTGTTTTTACCCTTGTAAAAAGCGGCAAACAAATAAGTGGGTGATTCTGCACTTTACCGGGAATTTTTTCATAGAAAAGGCATCATTCATTATAGAATATTATATTTGAACAACAACGACGAAATGAATTATGCTTTAGCGATAACTCGGTAGCGAAATAGCGATGCAGGCATCCATTCAGTTATGTTTAGCTCTTTTTTTATAATATAATTATAATAATGATCAGAAATAGTTATTTACTCTTATGCTTCCATTCAGTCATGTTTAGCCTTTTCTATATAAATTATAATAATAAAAAAGTATTATATGAAATTAATCTTTCATCTAAATTAAAACAATAATCTTTAGAAAGCTGTTTACTATTGTACTTCCTTTTTTGCGTTAGGGTTGCCGCAATTATTTTTGGCAGCACTGGCATCAACAATAGTTTGGCGATTTTTTACGGTCCTCAAAACCGAATAGTACCAAGAAATATAACTATTATTATGAGAAATGTAGTTATTATTAATATTGCAAGCCAAACAGTTTTTTTAAATATTACTATTTTGAAAGAAGGAAAAAATATGTTAAATTAAGAAATATAGTTACATTTTAATAAGCTATAATAAAGACTCAGATTTTTAATACAATTTAGAAATTTTGGAAAATTATGAAGCGTTTTTAAATATTAAATTCTGAAGAATGAAAGCAAAATTATGTACCTTCTGGACAGGTAATACTCAAAAGTATTCGCAATAAAGTACGCTTAAAAATGGCCATATAAATGATTTTTATATCATATATCCTACGTTCTGCATTTTCTGTACACTATATATCATGCATATATGTAATAAACATAAATGGAATTACAGTTATATAAGCTAATAAGGTGAGATACAACCTTAGTACAATGCGAAAATTACAAATGATTTTGAATATTTTCAATAATTTAAAAAATTTGAATAATACGGAAATATTTTAATACCATGAAGAGAATACTTCCTTACTGGATGACTAAAATATTGAAGTCATAGTTACCTTTTCATAATTACCTTTATCATAGTTACCTTTTCTCTGATGTTCTGATTAGTGGTAGTTCTTTATCTTAGTTACCTTTTCTCTAAAATAGGCGTACATCACGCTAATTATTTAGAAATTAATCCTGGGTTGCACGATATTCATTTGCATCTTTATTGGCATTACATTGATGTCACTGAATGGCATGATATTAAAGTCGCAATGAGTCGTTGCATGAATGTCCCAGTGCGACTTCACAACAGTATCACTTCACAAAAATGTCGCAGTGTGACTACGCATCAATGTCATAATGTGACTTCACATCAACGTCCCAATTGGACTTCACATCAACGTCGCAATGTGAAGTCGCAAAACGCGGACATTAAGCCATACCTACAACGTTACTGCGACATTGAGATCGTCACTATGTGACACGTTTGCAAAGACACAGCTACGTCGTCGTGCTGTTGGGGCTCGGTCACTCAGCCGATAATGTGGGCAAACGTCGTTACATTCGCGATCTGTTAAGGCTCGTGACTGTGCCCTGCCTTCAAGATCTACGTGACGCCATCTTTCAACAATATGATGCACGACCTCATGTTGCCTGGACTCCTTGATACAGAATATGTTCGAATTTTGCCCTGGCCAGCAGGTTCTCCAGATCTCTCACTCATTGAGAACATCTCATTATAGGTTGCCGGGAGACTGGATCACTTAGCAGAAAATATAGTTCAAGCTTCCTGGAATGAAGTACCTGTGTCTATTATCCGAGCTTAGTTCGATTAGATGCCCAGCTGGATTACAGACATGTTGCTGCCAGAGGTTTTCAACTCTGTGTACTGAATTTCGCATGTAATAAACCTCAAACTCTAAACATATGCTATTATGTTGCTCTTAAAATCTTTGTAATTTTGCTGTTGAACTGTATATGGCGTAAAAACAAAAAGAAATGGGTTAATAGGAGTAAGTGCAACATCAGACTGGCATGCGAGCTCAGCAAGAGCATGAAGAATCTTAACAAATCCTTTTGAACGATCGTTAAACATTGAAAGCGCTTCAAGTTCTTATTCTTGGTTTCTTTCTTTTCTTTTCGTGTTTTTAATGTAATTCGAATTATAAAGATTAGAAATATGTAAGTGTATGAGAGCTTGATCATAATAGAACGCTTGATTACAATGAGCACTTATAGCACAATCAATACCTCTTAGTTAATGGGAAGTTGGTCGTGTCCTTTATTAGGAAAGTAGGACATAGGCAGAATTTGAACCTAGAACTGAAGACAGGAAGAAAAGTACAACTGTATTTATGTTTGATTGTTTTCAATATAGATAGAATTGGAATCTGGAACTGATGGCAGGAAGAAAGGTACAACTGTATTTGTATTAATTTTGAAGTCAAACAACAAAAATCAGCATTACATTTTCAAATTTCACAGGACTAGTTTCCATGGTTTTACTGAACTATCCCCCCTCAGCTGCAAACCATGTTTTATCTTAAAAGACAATGACGAGCAACCTCTTGAAACCCACAAGCAGATGGATTATCCAGATCCACATACAGGGCGAACCTCCGGGAAAAACTTCGCAGCCGTTCAATCACAACCATACCACACGCAGTGGAAGGACCTTGTAACGAAAATATTATCAAAAATATCAGAACTACGCCGAGACTACCCGTCAACGGTTGTTCTGCACAGGTTCTTAATATACGTATATAAACCTTAATAATAATTAGACATAGTGAGTCTACTGTTAGAATATCTGTTTAATTATTATTAAGGTTTATATGCGTATATTAAGAACCTGTGCAGAACAACCGTTGACGGGTAGTCTCGGCGTAGTTCTGATATTTTTGATAATATTTTCGTTTCAAGTGGCGTCCGCGACAGGATGCAGTGAGGTTTTTGTAAGAATTATTTTGTTGAATGGTATTTTGTGAAGTAAAGCTGGTTTCATTTATCGTTTTATTATGAATCCTTTAACTGAAAAACGCGGAGGATTGCGTTCTTCCTTTACCAAGACTGTTAATGTTTTGAAAAACGAAATTGGTAAGGATAATTTTTCAGCAGGTAGAATTAAAGATAAATTTCCAAAGTTACAAATGTAACAGAAAGATATTGAGGAACTTAACGAGCAGATTTTGAATTTCATAATTTCGACTGATGTAACGCCTGAAAAAGTTAACGATGAAATGGAAAGCTGGGATATTTCTAAGGATGAATTTATTACCATTTCTTGCTTAGTTAGGGAGAAATTTAGGTGCCTTATAACAGATAAATTTAGAAACTAAGTCGCAAGGTATTGTTTCCAGTAATTCACCTCGTAATACTAGATCGTTAAAGCTCCCGAAAATAGAGCTTAAGAAGTTCGATGGAGAATTATTGAACTGGCTTCCGTTTTGGTCTCAGTTCGAAAAAATACAGGAGGACCCTGATTTGCACGAAAGTGACAAATTTCAGTATCTTGTGCAAAGCATGAAACAAGGGACGCGCGCTAGAGACTTTATTGACAGTTACCCAATGTCTGCGAAAATCATTCAAAAGCTATTAGTGCTCTTAAGGAACGTTTTGGGAATCATGATTTATTAATTGAGGTATACGTGAGAGAACTTGTTAAGTTGATTGTAACGAATGTTAAGACAGGCAGTAGTGAAAAATTACCATTGCCGTAATTATTTGATAAGATTGAAGCACAACTAAGAGTTCTCGAATCCTTAGATATTAAAACGGAAAGCAATGCTTGTTGGTTATATCCCATGGTAGAATCATGCCTC